TTGTGGTTTCAGCTGAGGTGTGCAGTTGACTAGTCAGCTTGTAACTTTGAGGTTCTACTGGATAATATTACTCTAGGTCAGTGGTCCCAAACTATTTGAAGCTGCTGGGCGCCAGGGAGCGTGGCCATTCGCCTGCCGGGCGCCAGAGGGTGGGGACACTTGTACACCTGGGGGCGGGGCCACGCATATGCCACACCCCCATGAGCCATGTGCCGTGCGCCCGGGGGCCAGAGCGCCCAAGTCACCGCGCGCCCGGGGGCCAGAGCGCCCAAGTCGCCACGTGCCCGGGGGCCAGCTCCGGGACCTTGCATGTGCCATGTGCCCAGGACTGGGCCAGCCCAGAGCATTTGGCGGGTGCAAACAAATGCCCCCGTGGGCGCCATGGCACCCGCGGGCACAGTGTTGGGGACCGCTGCTCTAGGTTAGAAGTATTTGAAGAATCATTGATTAAGCTAAACGCGGTCTCTTAGATTAGTTTTGTTATTCCAAGTGGTGCTGCTAGTATGAGTGTTTTAGAAGCTAATTTGTAGTAAATTGGCCTTTGTTGTAATTTCTCTTCACTCGCTTCATCCTGGAGCAGAACGAAGTTTTATCCTGTGCTTAGACATGCACTTGCTTATCAGGAAACGTTCTAAATTGGTAGTGGTGGTGGTGATTTATGATGAGAATGAAGAACAGGAAAGTGAGAAGATCATTAAAACTTGTGACTGATATAATAGAGTTATCTAAAGCAAGCCCATCTAAGTAGCACACAACGTTAGTTATGTCTGAAGGCATGGCACTGAGATTAGAAAACACGTTGAGCTTCTGGGGTGCAAAGTACTTTATATTAGTGATTTTAAGTGTGATATGAGCCTTTGTGTATTTGCTAATGCTATATAGCTAAGAGAGGCTACAGCTGTCAGCGTGAGAAAGTTACTGCATATTCCTGACATGCAGGAAGAACAAAGCTGCTCCTAAACTTGAAAAGGAATTCAGTAGCTTGTAGGATAGTGGTATTGTCCAGGAGCTAAAAAGTCAGAACTAGATGGGAAAAACCCAGAAGCAAACCTCAAACACAGATCATTCTGATATGAAGTGTCAGCATTTGAATTTAATCAGCAGCACTAAAGCAAATTAAGATGAAACCAGACCTGGAAGGGAAGATTAGCAGGATTCCACTGGCTGCTGTTTATCCTTTTACCAGCCACAATATCCTGACAACCAGGGTGTGGGCATCCAACATGGTGTTTAAAGGAAGCTGAGGGTATTTGTGCTTGTTGCATTACTGCAGCAGAGCTGTAGCTGTGCTGATGTAGAGCTTCAGTGTAAACATTACTTATGCCAGTAGGAGGGGTCTCTTGTAGGTAATCTATCTCCCCAACAGGCAGTAAAAAGCCCAACAATCAATGAAAAAAGTCTCCTGTTGACCGAGCGCTTTCTATACTGGGGGTTAAAGCAGCCTACTTGTGTGTTTCAAGGGTGTGGATTTTGGATGCAACTTCCCAGTGTGGACCAGCCCTCTGTAAGTGTAACTTTTAATCAGGCACCGTAATTGAAAGTTAAAAGCCTTGGTTGCGTGTTGTAAGGCATTAAAGTTCTCAGTTTCTGTCAAAGTTGTTGTACACAGAGAACAGCTACAATTTTTCAATAATAAACCATGGTTACCGAACTTAAAAACTTGGAATACATTTTATGGTTACATTTTTCTTTCTCTCTCTCTCTCTCTTTTAATTAAGGCACTTACATCTTCTGTTTCAAATATATTTGCTATTTGTGCTGGTTATGAGAGTCAAAATGGTACGTTGGTTGGTTGGTTTGTTTGTTTGAAGGACCTTCTAAGGTTTGAAATCTAGAAGCCTCTGTTAAATGGCTGAGCCTCAGTCAGGGGGAGGAGCTACCAGAGCTATATAAGCCTGTGAGTCAGCGACCAGGGAGCTTGAGAACAGGAGCAGCTAACAGCGAGTTTGGAGAGGGAGGTTAGAGGGCGCTAGTGACTTCTGACCTTCTTTAAAACATAACTCTTATAATAATCTATATTCCAGA